GAGGCTGATTGGATGTATTATTGCATCCATTACGATTGTATGTGATCATTGTATTGCATTAGATTATTAGTTTTACAGACACTTCCACCCAATGCAACTTGCAATTGTACCCATTTAGAGAGAAGGGCATTGTCCTATAGCAATCTGAGTGAGGTACCATACTCGAGGGAACACCAGCAGTGACTCACATAATATTTGGACCCACAGCCTTTCACTTACGATTTTATTCCACACCGCTTCCTTAATTGTGGCTTTCGGGATTTGAAAGCCTCTCCCGTGAGAAAAGGAGCCAATGCGCTCTGACATACTGTAGGGTTTCAAAGAGAGAGGAATGGGAGCATTTTCAGTGAATCAAGATAGACACTGGCCAGTGTTCTTCCTCTGGCTGAGAGCCAATTATACAACAGTCTATAGTATAAGAAGTTTTTGCTTTAACATCCAAAAATCCAAAACTTCAGGGTGTTACTTCAATGACTGTAACCCCGAATACCAAAGGAATGAAAGTCCATAGCATTCCTTCCACACCTGGTAGGAAAACTATTACTTCTTCCTCTATTAAACAGAACAGAACCTTAAGAGATTTGAACCAAGACATAAGCATATCCGTAGTCTTACAAGCTGCAAGGCATCAAAACTTAGAATGCAAAGACAATGTGATGACCACACACTTCTTAAAATGGCTGCACAAAATTCATTAGCTCTGTACCTGGCTAAACTATTTTGTGTTGCTTGTATGAAAGGGCTGAAAAAGTGTGCATGCTTTTGGTTGGCGCATACAGTCAACACATACATTAAAGTCAACACCAAACAGTGCCTGGGTTATTCACTAGAAAAGGGTTCGTAGGCTTTAAAGGGCTTATGAGAAGCAAAATCACAACAATTTTAGACACATCATGCATTAAAGGAGAGAAATGCTGACTGGGTTTTTGTCAGGCACTGCGTTAGTTTTAGAGGCTTGTGGTGAGGCAAAGCTGAACCTGGCAGGCACAAGACACAACCACACCATGGGCAGAGTGCTAGCCATCTGCAGGCTAAGATCCCCAACTTTATTCATCTGACATCTAAAAACTCTCCAACTGCTCCAGAACCTGTTCACCCGCTGAATGCAACATATCCCAACAAGTAAATGTGGCTGAGCAGATAACAGGCTTCTGACCGGTCCTCTTCGGTCACACTACAGCGGATTTCCACAACACCCCGGTAGTCTTTGCTAGATGTAAACCCAAGAATTCAGCACAGTATAAAACAGCCCTTTTCTATGCACTCATTAAAAATATTCCTTAAATGCAGTGGTTTAACAAACTCATTTTGCACCAAAGGGCCTTTTGTTTTGTTTGGTAGGGACAAAGTACACAAAGCTTAATTCAGGATAAGATCCTCGTTACATATAGAGAAAACATTATATATAAACACTGGGATACATCTAAGCACATTTATATATAGGAACAATAAGTTTATTCCCTGCTGAAAAGAGAAGAAAGAAAACACAACATTTCGGCCGTGGAGCCTTCTTCAGGTGTGATATATCTTCATTTATATATACACAAACAATGAAACTAAATTTGAATTCAATATTGTTATCCCATGCATTGCAAAATGCATTTTAGACCTTGAGAATTATATTTGATTCACCAAACCTCAGTCAATGAAGAATAACAGGCAATGCGAAATACTTTTGCTTTTTTTTATTATTAGAAAGGACAGTTTCTCTTCCCCTCCCTCAACAATAGCTTTTACCTTCATTTTTTCATGAACAAAATCCACAATATTCCAAATATAATTTGAAAAGTGTTATAACAAAGAAAAAATGGCCAGGCCAAAACCATTCAAGTCCAGAGCTGAAATCATTTTTTCTTTGCATTGTCTTAAAAGCCACAAAATAAAATTAAAATTATAACTCCCCTCATACACTTACAGCTTATAAAGATGACAAATAAAATTAGGTTATTTCAAAACAATTAAAAATTATTAATAGTGTCCCCTTTTCGTCTATTCTTGAAAAGTGAAAGTCATTGCACTTTAGATTGTCATACAGATGTACTGTAAAAATCACTGGAAGCCTTTCATCCATTCTTCTCACTCTAGTTTTTGTCCTCTGTGACCCATCATGCATTTTATTACAGAATACAAAGCATCGATTTCTATACATTTTGAATGTCCTTATTTTAATGAATCCCAAGTAGTATGGTGAATTGGTGGGTAGCACCGCTACCCCCAAAACATCTGGGGTCTGAGTTCTGTTCTGAGCTGAGCTGGGGTGCCTGTCTGTGCAGAGCTTGCATATTCTCCTTTTGCCAGTATTTTTTCCTCTTGTGCTCTGGCCACTTGAGCTAGATTCTTATTGGCTACTCCTTATATCGTCACTCCGCGATTCGCCAGCTCGTTGAAACATGCCATTATCCTGTGACATATAGTGTACACAAGAAAGTACATCCTTTCCTTCAAAAAATGAATGTACACTAAAATAAGGAATCAAGTCACAAGAGGTCAAGAAATATTTACAGTCACAATTCCACTCAAATGGCTTGTTGAGCTTTTGACCCCTGGAGAAACCAAGTACCACACAGAGATCGTATAAAAATAAGCATTGATAACCAACAGTAATGTGTTCCGAGTTACATGTGATCGTGATATTAATGCTGAAAAGCTCCTCATCCCCTCTTCAGAAAAAAAGTCTTTAGGTAGTTCTTGTGTGACAGCAATTTCCAGATCAGGATCCTAGCTGGTCTTGAAAACAGAAGCTAAAGCTCAGAGCCCAGCGTTCATGCCAATGTCAAAGCACACCAGGAGTCTTGCCGCACAGAAAGTCCATTCTGTTGAGCTATGGATGTTGAAGGGAAGTGATAATCCTCATATTTAACTTCCGGATGTCCAGAGTTAAGATTCTCCAGTTGAGATGAAGCCTGAGAAATGAGATTGTTTTTTAAAGATCTTAGTACTGAATAAAATACAAGAATTTGCATTACGTTTTATAAATCCGTAGAACTATTAGCACAACACTTTCTTGTGTACATAGTGAGGCCACAGACTAGTCTAGTGTATATTTCTAATGCGTTTAGGAATGAAAAAATGCTGCGAGCACAGATCCACTTTGTTGGGAGTGAACTAAAAAACATCCACTCTTCCTGGGGGACCAAAAACACAGTTTGGCTAAACGTCAGCACTGAAGATGAGCTTGCAGTACTTTACGGAGCAGGTCTAACGAGGTCTTCAGCTACAACAGGCAAAACAGCAGTTTTCACATCTTTACCTGAGTTGCAGACACCACAGTCTGGCCAGCGAAAGGAGAGGGGGCTGTGCCAGGCTCGCTCTTTATGGTGGAGGCATTTTCAGAGAGGGTGAAGGAGGAAGGCGAGTTGGTACCAGAGGCAGAGGAACCTAAATCACATGCAAAGGTGTAAATTAACAAAGCAACACAAACCTCTTAGAATCACATTGCTATGTTATCATACATATGTGACAAGTTAGTCATGTATTTGTAGTAATCATACAAATATCTGTAAAACTAACTATATATAACAATCTCTTGCATTTTCATAAGGCTTTGCAGTAGATTTGTAGAAATAAGCTATATAGATACATTGCAGAATGATGTGAGAAGAAACAGCTTTACATAAACATGGTAAGAGATGCTGAATGGTGCCCTGTTCTTATCAGAATGGTTAATTGAAGAACTGATGTGAATTTGAGCTGTTGAGAGCTAACACAAGATTAATATTCAGCACATTATCTGAATGGCTGGTTCGGGTCCCCTATCCCTGCTCCAGCCCTGCTCCACTATGAGATGTGTACATTAAAGAATGAAAGTTTGCAAAGCCACGTAGTAACACCTCAGTTTTGCTGTGCACGGTTGCTATTGCCTATTGTTCCAAAACAGAAAATAAGAACACCATGTACCTGATGAATTTTTGGATTTGTTAACATTCTTTGGTTTTCTTTTCCTGGTTTGGATGCTTTCTTTCTTCATAGCCAGTGGTCTTGGAACCTGAAACAAGACCCTACAGTTAGACCCGACTGCACGTTTCCTGCAAGGTGGCTCACA